TTTGAGAGAATTTGGCAGCAACTCTTCAAGAGAAAGTATCCTCCAAAGGATCATGTGTATTTTCGAGGTATAACAAACTCATTTACTCATTGACAATAGATTAATTGCATTTGACAGATATGCAAAATCCCACAAGTGACTGCAGTGAACTGCTGAGGAAGACAGCAGCCACCTTTTCAGATGATACACTGTTACAGCTGTTTCTTACAGTGCAGCAAAATAATGTGGCTCTGTCAATTGAATATGCAATCAAAAGGTAGTTGCTTCATTTTGAATTATATGCTGGTAAATTGCTGATTATCTAGAATAACAGAGTTGTCTTTCCAGGTTGGAAGTTATTCAAAGAAAAGAAAGAGTGGAGGAAGATGGTTGAGAACATACTGAAGTATTTTCCACATATGGTATGTGGACCTTACTTGACTGTACAGTGGTAGAACAAAATAATATATATGAACAGGCAGTAAGCCAACATCCAGTGGGCCTCAAGTAGATGCTAATGGGATCATGCTTTTGTTATAACAGGCGGTAAGCCAACATCCAGTGGGCCTCAAGTAGATGCTAATGGGATCATGCTTTTGTTATAACAGTGGGTGAGTCAGGATCTAGCTGGCCTTTCCTGCTTGTTGCTGACAAGAGCATGCTCTGGGTTTTGAACAGACTGTAAGTCAGGATCTGGCTGGCCCTTCCTGCTTGTTGCTGACAAGAGCATGCTCTTGGTTTTGAACAGGATGTAAGTCAGGATCTGGCTGGCCCTTCCTGCTTGTTGCTGACAAGAGCATGCTCTGGGTTTTGAACAGGCTGTAAGTCAGGATCTGGCTGGCCCTTCCTGCTTGTTGCTGACAAGAGCATGCTCTGGGTTTTGAACAGGCTGTAAGTCAGGATCTGGCTGGCCCTTCCTGCTTGTTGCTGACAAGAGCATGCTCTGGGTTTTGAACAGGATGTAAGTCAGGATCTAGCTGGCCCTTCCTGCTTGTTGCTGACAAGAGCATGCTCTTGGTTTTGAACAGGCTGTAAGTCAGGATCTGGCTGGCCCTTCCTGCTGTGCTGACAAGAGCATGCTCTTGGT